GTCCCCCCCTGCCGCTGCCCCTCTTATCCCACTTTGTGAGCACCAGCTGCCGCCTTTCCCTGCTTTTAGGGGGATGAAACGATTGTACTCACCATCACCGGGTTGTTTTCCAGAGGGACGTTAAAAGGCTGGAGTGGGACCACTCTCGCCGCGGAGGGGGGAGATGAAATATCAGGCTAACGCGCGGCGCGGCGGAGTCTCCTCCTGGCTGCCTCTGAAAATGCCTCCAGAGGAGGGCCCGTATCCAGGAGGAGATACCGAGTGGGGATGGCTGCCCACAGATAGCGGGGTGCTTGTGTCCTACCCTCGCACCCCCCCTTTTTCCCAGAAAAACCCTTGTTTCTGTGCCAAGCGCCTGGGCTGAGCACGATCAGCTGGCTCTGCAGCCACTATTGATTACACCAGCGGGCAGCAGGGACTGTCCTGGCTGTGGGTGGGGGCTGGCCTCGGGTCCCCGCTCTCGGCTCCCCCTCCCCGGGAAGGGAGGAAATGCCACCCTGACTCCGCGGCATTTGGATACGGCTGAGCATGCTGCAGGTTTTTCAAACAACTGCTTATTTTATTATTTTTATTTATGTTTTAGCATGTGAAGCATCTGGCCTCGGAGGAAGAGGACAGACACCTGGACCACCTTCTCCTCCCTGTCCCTTGAAGGCTCTGGGCCGCTCCGACTGCGGATTCCCCCTATGCTTCGGCCTCACTGGCTGGCAGAGGACGGCAAGGAGAGCCCCAGCCTGGGAGACCGCATCCAGCCTCTTATCAGCGTAGTTTTTCCTTCCGTCAGGCAATTAAAGCCGGAGGTGGGCATCTGGATGTAAGATTTGTGCATCCCTTAGGGCAGGGAAAGCTGCAGCTCAGGTTACTGCCTCCCTGCTGCCCTACGGCAAGGTCCTCCAGCCAAGGGAAGGGAAGGGAGAGAAAATCCAGCTGGAGAGGCGCTGCCTTCAGCCGCTTGCTCTGATCGATGGAGGAGAGCAAGAGGGAAGCAACTGTAGCTTTCCGCCAGCTCCAGATGATGCCGCATAGTTTCCCTTTTAAAAGCATGAACTGGGCTGGAGAAATAAATATTTGCCTTACAATTCCTGTTGGAAGCGAAAGGCTGTGTTTGGAGAGAGGGTGTTAAACGGAAGTCACCGGGGCCAAGGCAGTTTGTTGCTGTGACTGTTTTATTTGCTGGGTGCGATCCTGCTCCCAGCTGTTCCCCGCCTCTGCTCCCAACTGGAACAGGCGGCAGCTTTGGCAGTGACCGATGAGGGGTCACCCTCCCAGGGGCTTAAAATTTAGTCTGGGGCAGGAGAGCTGAGCAGGCAGCTCAACCTGTAGACATGACCTGGGGCTCTGGAGGACAGCCAGCCAGCCCTCGAGCCCACGTCCAGCTCAGGGCTCAGCCCCTTCCCTCTGCCTTTTTTTCCATTTTTTCCAAGTTCAGTACAAAGGCTCTGGCTGCGAGCACGTTGCCGATGCGGTCCTCAGCTGAACAAAATGTCCTCTTGTCCCAGGGCCTGCCTTTTTGGTGGGGGTTGCTGCTGTGCAGCACAGGGCCCCGATCCCTAGGGCCCCCCGCTCCTTCCCGGTGGAGCATCGGGGCTCTCCATCCGGGCGCTGACACCTGTGCCCAGCCGGGAAATGCCAGTTAGGGATTGCAGAGGAGGGAGAGCAAAGACAGGGCTGGAAATCCCGGGCTCCGAGCCGCACGCCTGCCCCTCCTGCCCACGGGGGAAGGCTGCGAGGCAGAAGTACCGGCAAGGGAGGACGGCGCTGCCGGGAAGGCCGGTGGGAGAGGCGATGCCCTCGGGGAGCCCGTCTCGGCGCGGGCTGACCGCTCCCGTCCTGACATCCCTGCTCGTGCAGTTTGGGGGTGCAGAATGAAAAACGGACTGATTTGGGGTCCCGGGGAGCTTTGCTTGGTGGTGGGCTCAACAAATACACAGCGGAGCCTTT